GTAGGTTAATCTTCATGGGTACAGAATAATGCATGTGCTTGACCATCTTACAAATCTATGTCTCAGATTCATAAGGCTGTCACTCTGCATGAATCTCCGAATAAATCTTGTGCAACCTTCTGTGTACCGATTATTTACACTATAGGTATTATATGCATTAATTAACTTTGATAGTATTTCAGGGTTTGAACTTTTCTTTACGGGAGGTTAACAACAATGTGATGTTTTATTATAGATGCATATGAGGAAGCTCGACTCAAACATCCACACGCAACTGTGATTTCTGACTGGTAGACAGATGAGGATGATGATCGCCTGTCATACATCTAAAGACAGAACAGGTTTGTTTGCAATTATTTTAAACACATACTGTCAACATTATGTCATTGATCTATTACAACCTGTGAGTTTTGACCTGGCACCAGGCCCGGATTAAGAACTCAGGGGCCCCTGGGCACATTATCTTGTAAGGCCCCCTACCTGGCCGCACCCCTATAGTTGAATTAAAAAAATAAGAATAATATAATAATTTTTAAATAAAATGAATCTATAATTTGTTGCCCACATATTTAAATAAATGATATATAGTACATATGTATTTATAGTCTGCAAAGATTTAAATTATTTTTCAAAGCATTAAATAAAAATACAAATAAAACTACATAGCTAAAACTACATATATATATATATATATATATATATATATATATATATATATATATATATATATATATATATATATGTATGTATACAGTTCTATGAATCTGAGTTCTATGAATCTGAGTCTTTCATAATACTAACACTGATTTACTGTCTCTCTCCTCCTCTCCCTGTATTTTCTCTACTCTTCTCGTGATGAAGACTTGATTATAAACCTAAAAGTATCTGAAATCACAGACACTATACCTCTTCTCTCCCCTCTCTCTCCTCTTCTGGGCCTTTCTCTCTCTCTCTCTCTCTCTCTCTCTCTCTCTCCTTTTCTGTCTGTCTCTCACCCGATGAATCCAGTCCGCGCTGCGCTGCCGTTAGCCTCCTCCGCCTGGTTAATGCTAGCTACTCATCATTTAAAGTTAACGTCTTCTTCTGTACCCTCATTCTCCTGATCACGGGTCTGTTTGAAGAAGGTGTGTATGGAAAATGCCTCAATAAAGATGCCTCCTCTCCTCTTTCTCTCGCGTTTGCTAAATCCACTTGTCCACTCATTTTTGATCTATGACAGATATAACGTTACACTAAAGTCCGCTCAGTTTAGTGCGGGTTATTACAAAACTGACGTTTCCGCACTTGACCAATTACAGCATTCTGTTTAGTTAAAGAAAGAAAGGCAATTTAAATATAATAATAATATTAATATGTGATCGCGATTTTTTTTGCTCAGAGGAAATACAGTTGTCTGAGCAATAGAGTTTTTGAAGAGAGGGAGGCACGGCAGGCGCCTATAATAAGGCTAAACATTATTAAATACCCACGAGACACTTGTGACTTTATATCACATTTGCATTATTTTAAAAAAATGTTTCTTTCCTGTTAAAAATAAATATATTTCCAATCTGATATGTAATGGGGAGAAATAAAAGTAGCACGAGTTCAGCTGATGGTGGATTCGAACCGATGTTATGATTAATCGCGTCAAAAGATGATGCCGTGTGCCTTACAAGGTGCGCCACTGCGGCTATATTATCACACTGCTCTTTACTCATGTTATCTCTATCAATCAGGCATCGATGGGCGTAAACCCTGAATAGTTTAGTCCAACTAGATGCGCTATTTGCAATTAGCCTAAAAAGACACTCCGAAATTGCCTTTTTTTCTCCCCCCTCGCAGGGGCCCCTGGTGCGCACGGGCCCCTGGGCCTGTGCCCATAAGGCCCATTGGTTAATCCGGCCCTGCCTGGCACTTTAAAGTGATGTTTTGTTTTGTAAATGTATCTGATTAAGGGACAGTATAGACACATCTATACCGTGATGAAGAAAAATTACTTGGAACAAAGAGGCTGGATAAAAGGCAGGTATGAAGATTTCAGAAATCAATGCAGCACCACAAGTCACATCACCATCAATGACTATGGCAGAAATCTTAAGACCACCATCAAGATGCACAGATACTGTACATTCCAGTACACCAGGCGTGTCCAAACTACGGCCCGCGGGCCATCTGCGGCCCGCGAGGCTTTTTATAAATATCAATAGAATCTGGCCCGCTATACAAAAATGAACGTAATTCAATAAATAACCACCGGGTGTCGCTATTACATGCATTCAATTAAGCAGCAGTTCTTGTTATGATCTATCTATCTGTCTGTCTGTCTGTCTGTCTGTCTATCTACACACAGTTGAAGTCTGAATTATTAGCCCCTCATTGATTTATTTCTTCTTTTTTAAATATTTCCCAAATGATGTTTAACAGAGCAAGAACATTTTTACAGTATGTCTGATAATATTTTTTCTTTTGGAGAAAGACTTATGTTTTATTTCGGCTAGAATAAAAAGCGGTTTAATTTTTTTTATGAACCATTTTAAGGTCAAAATTATTGGCCCCTTAAGTCTTCAGAACAAACCATTGTTATAAAATAACTTGCCTAATTACTTTAACTTGACTAGTTAACTTGATTAACCTAGTTAAGCCTTTAAATGTCACTTTAAGCTGTATAGAAGTGTCTTAAAAATATCTAGTCAAATATTATTTACTGTCATCATGGCAAAGATAAAATAAATCAGTTATTAGAAATGAGTTACTAAAACTAATATGTTTAGAAATGTGTGGAAAAAATGTTTAACTCTCCGTTAAACAGAAATTGGGGAAAAAATAAACGGTGGCTAATAATTTAGGGGGGCTAACAATTCTGACTTCAACTGTATATATATATCATGTCATATATATATATCATGTATATATATATCATGTCATATCAGACATATATATATGTCTGTGTGATGTATGTAAAATTTGGCCCGCGACAACGTTTGTTTTTTTGCATCTGGCCCTCGGCCCAAAAAGTTTGGACACTCCTGCAGTACACCTATAAACATTTACAGTCTTTGTTCTAGTGCAGTTTGAGATCAAGACAGAACTTATTGCATCTCGTGATGTCTTTGTAAGAATTGAAGACATCACTAAATTTGTTAAGGTTTAATGCAGCTAGAAAGTAAAGATCAACTAGAGAATATCAGCAGTGTCTAACCCACTGTTGTATTTACAGAAGTTGTATGAGAATAAGCGACAGGTTGATTTATACTAATCTGTTATTTTTCTTTTTTAGCACGACTGACTGAAGTTTTAAAATCATGCAACGTCATAAAGCAGCAGCTGGGCCTGATTCTCACAAAACCAAAACAGACGTGATGAAATTCCAGATGTAAACACATTTGACCTTCCTGTGGCCAATTTGATTTGGAAAAGCTTGAAAATCAACTAAAGGAGCAGCCCGAACAAATGAAGAAACTGGTAAGTTCAAGCTCTTGCTAATTTCAAAGTGTTTTAAGTTTATTTGTTTTTTTTATAGTTTTTTTTTTTGCTTCGTAGGTAGCCTACTTTTTTCCTAATTTTTTCTTTTTTTTTTTACATTAGTACTTGTTCACTACTAATTATCTGTTTATCTTTTAATCACAGATGGAGTGAGGACAAATGTCCATACCACGCCACTGATAAAGAAGTGGAAAAATGCATTACAAGGTAGCTACAACTTGCCCCTGACAGGGATGGAGGAAGAAAGAAGAGAAAGCTAATGTGTCAAATGTCTACATCACTATTTTGTTTTAATTTTTAAACAACATTTTAAGTGTATTAGGATGTTCCCTGATACTTGAACAATTTGTTTCTTTCATTTGCATTTATATATATATATATATATATATATGTATATGTATATATATATATATATGTGTGTGTGTGTGTATATATGTATGGTATGTATGTATGTATGTGTGTGCGCCAAATTGTAAAGAAACATCTTGATACATTTTTAATAAACGTAATACAAATAAAATTATAAATATAAAATTGCACAAGACGTGTATATATATGAAATTTATAATCATCTCACTCATGTCTTGCTGTTTGTGCAATTGATTTTGTTCTGCAATTATTTATATATATATATATATATATATATATATATATATATATATATATATATATATATATATATATATTTGTTTGTTTTATTATTATTTTAATGTTTTATTAAAAAATGTTTCAAGATGTTTCTTCAGAATTCTGCAGTACTTTTTACAAGTTTGACTTGGATATTTTACGGATTGTCATTGGTATTTTTAAGATGTTTCTTGCTATATCTTAAATTGGTTTCTATATTTAGGTTTATATAAAATTTAGCTGTTTTTTACAAATTTTTAATTCAAGTCTATTGGGAAAACAGGGTTGTTTTAAAAAACATCTGTGTTTGTGTGTAATTTTTAGATTTTTTTGTTTAAATCTTTCTGTGTGTCTTTATTGTGTTGTTTTATTGTTGTTTTTATATTGATATTCTTGTGCACTACAAAATTATTTATAAAATTTTAGTACTATTTTTTTCATGCAATCAATAAACGTTTAACATTTATTTATTTTGTCATTTGTCTGATTATTTTCGTTACAGAATATGTATGCAGTTTGCACTTTATTCAAAGGTTAAACGCAGTGCTTACACTTTGTGTTTACATTATAGCCTGTGTTTGCTGTTATATAAATTCAAATGGTTGTAATACCATATATCAAGTACCAATGTAATACCAAAAGGTTTTATAAGGTGTATAAATACGGAGTCGCGCCAGCTCCGGGCCGCAGCGCACATTACCCTCGCGCCGATTCCGGCGCGGATGCGCAGCGTCGGCTCGCTTACGGCCGCCGCATCTGGCCCGCTTGATTCGGGCCGGAATCGGGCAGTGAGTCCACAGGCATCCGGCCCGAGTCCGGCAGCCGAAGTTGGGCCGAGGGGTTAGTCTCCGGCAGGCGACAATCTAGCCGGAACTGGCCCGAGTATATTTTGCTATCTGGGTATAAATTCTACTTGACGCTCCGTTGCGAGATATCTTCCGTTGACGTCACTCCCGTCCACGAGAAAGCGCTAGAGACCGAACTCCGGCCAAACCGGAGAAGAAGAGCGACCGCACCAACATGGCGATCAAACAGGCAGGTAAACCGCGTCGTTTACATAAATACTTATTTTAGTGCTAATGATAAACGCAATTTTCTTCATGTTATACTAAAAATCATGTGTATGTTTGCTTACTATTTATTCAACGCTTTTAAAATAACACCAACTGCGTTAGTTGATTGTTGTGGTTCTTGTGCTGTTTGGACACCTGACACACTATGAGACTCAATGAAAGTGCATTAAGGTGTTGTCGCTTTGTCTAAATAAAGTGAACAATTAATTTCTTAGGCTGTTTTGTTTCGAATGTCAAATGAAATTGTGTTTTTGCTTTAGGGAGAAACGCCAATGTTGTATCCTTTGTGAAAACCCACCGAAAAACAAGAGTAAACAGTGATGAGAAGGACGAGGCATATAGGTAAGCTTTTTGGAAAAAGGAATGATTTACTGTTGTTTTTTATGAGCACATAGTTTCATAACTCAACTGGAAGTTGGGCATTTTTAGGGTCACACATTTTGTTAAATTTTGTGTTGCTCAACATAAAGTACATTTTCAGATACAATATGAATTATTTCAAACATCACAGGCTTTTAAACTCGTCAAAGTCTGTAATAGTTAGTTATTACTAAATAATAGTATGCAGTAGTAGTAATAATAATAATAAATTAATTAATTTTCTTGTCGGCTTAGTCCCTTTATGCATCAGGGATGGCCACAGCGAAATGAACCACCAACTTATCCAGCGTATGCTTTACACAAATGCAGCGGAAATGCATCCGCTGCGTAAAAACATATGCTGGATAATTTGGCGGTTCATTTCTCTGTGGCGACCCCTGACTAATAAAGTGACTAAGCCGAAAAGAAAACGAATGAATGAATGAATTTATTATTTATTTAAATATATTTAAACTATATGAGCAGACACTTAACTTGCAAAAAATATGATTGAATGATCCCCAATACAGTACATCTCATCTCTCTATCCTATTTTTATTTTTCAGGTTGGAATTACATTTTCTTTACTTAATTTGTCAAGGTCAATTTTATTGTCTCCCATAGGAGAAATTTGTTTTTAGAAAAAAAAAATTCTGCTGTACATAGACACCCACAAAACGACTTATAACACGCACAATAAACATCCTAATCCTAAAATACATCCTAATATAAATACAGTTCCATTAAAACAATAATCCAAAACATGCGCTATAGGTAAATTGGGTTAGCTAAATTGTCCCTTGTGTATGTGTGTGAAAGAGTGAACCCAGAGATGGGTTGCAGCCGGAAGAGCATCCACTGTGTAAAACATATGCTGGATAAGTTGGCGGTTCATTCCGCTGTGGTCACCCATGATTAATAAAGGGACTAAACCGAAAAGAAAATGACTAAATGAATGATTGAATAAATTGGCTGTAGTATGTGAGTGTGTATGGGTGTTTCCTATTACTGGGTTGCAGCTGCGAGGGCACCCATTGTGTAAAACATGCTGGAATAGTTGGTGGTTCATTCCGCTGTGGCAACCCCTGATAAATAAGGTACTAAGCCAATAAAAATTGAATGAATGAATGTCTGTAAACATGGCACTTTTGTTTCACTAAATTAAAACGTTTTTTTATTTTAAACATGGAATAAATGTCACGAAGAGTTAAGTTTAGAGAATAAACCGAAACATTGTTTTAGCATAAAATTATGCATTAAAGCAGGTGTTATCAACTGGTTTAGCCATGGGACCCAAAATGTTTACATGGTCATCAAGCCGTGACCCAAATTTTTAGAAACTATAATACAATTTTAGGAATTATAATTAATTTGTATTTGTTTGTGAACGTAAACAAGTAGTGAAAGTGTATTTTATTGCTGTCTTTTAACAAAATGTATCAAATTATAGAAATATTACAAAGTAAAAAAGAGAAATGCTGTTAATAATAAACTGTTAATAAAACATGTTTTCTGGTTTCTAAATGTTATTTTAATTTTGAAGGTTTCATCCTCTCTTATGTGAGCACCTCACTACACATGACACTGAGGCTTTAAGCCTTTTTTGTCGTCAATATATATATATATATATATATATATATATATATAGATCTCCATACTTTACATATTCGGGGTCGTACTTGCGATTCGACAAATTTGCTGCAACAATTAAATGAAATATCACATGTCAAACGGTAGGGTTGTCACGCACACATTTCAAAATAAAAGTCCGGTATAAGCAAAATAAGTACAAATTTTCACTTTTGTTGTTTTTTTTTTTTTACCTCACACTCCGCGACCCACTGAGAAACACTTCATTAAAGAATTACTTTGCTACAGCAATCCACATGTAACTTAAAAAAAATGTTTTTAGAGGCTATATTCAAAACGAATACATCTCATTCTAGTTTGGAGTTTTATGTCTACTCTACAAATATTATCAAAAGTATGAAAAAATACGGTTCATATTCCTCAAAATATCGGGGGCGCTCTTGTATGGTCACTACTGGAAACTGAATGTGGTCATGTTTGGTACTGCAGCCAATCTAAATCTGACTCATTTTTTCAGAAATCAACTTCAAATTCAGTCAGTCATTCATTTTTCCACAACGGAATGAACTGCCAACTATTCAAGCATATGTTTTACACAGCGAATGCTCTTCCAGCCACAACCCAGTACTGGAAAACACCCAAACAATCTCTCAATCACACACCACTCATAGACTACTGGCAATTTAGTTTATCCAATTCACCTAAAGCGCAGGTGTTCGGACTCTGGAGGAGAGAACATGCAAACTTGCTGTGAGGCGACAGTGCTAACCATTGAGCCATTGTGCCGCTCCATCAACTTTAAATGTGGAATCTAATTTGTTCAAATATTTAGGGTTGATTTTTCTGCCGAAAGATTAGGTGTTATCCAAACACTATTTAATTATTAGTATTCAATTTAGAAATCAGAAGCACACAGGTGATGGCTTAGATGCAAACTATAAAGGCAAGTTCACTAGAAATTTGGAACGAAGCCCTTAAATAACTTAATTCTGCCACTGTCTGTGCAGGGCTTTAATGAACTGAGTTCGACTATTAAACATTATCTTAAAGATGAAACATTTGTGTTGACGCTGCTCAGATTACACCGACTAGCTGGTATAACAAAAGCTGTGTGTGCAGGAAACTGATTTCCATTGAAATGCACATTAATATTTCAGCATGGACATGCACAGTTGCTCAGTTCTGAATGTCGCGTGTATCTTTCATGCATTAATTCAATCCCAAGATGCATCAATCAACAGCATTGGGAGGGTTTGAGAGCCTAATTTAAGCTTGTATAGAGTGTTGTGTGTTTTTCTTAGCAACAGGGAAGCACCAAAGTCTTGTGTGTTTGTGTGTGGTCGTAGTTTGATTATCAGCACAGTCCAGCTGCTATAACCCAGACTATAACGTCACCGGCAGAACAAAAGAGTGGTAAAACGAGCATCGGGACAAAGCTAGAGATACAGTAAATCCGCGGAGGCACACCGAGCTGCAGATACAGTGATCGGCCTGCTGAATGAAGCACACCTTAATAATTCAAGCTCGAGCTGATTTTCATTCAAGAGGAAAACACCGGAAACAAAAGAGACGGACAACATTGGTTATGTCAGGCTCTTATACGCCAGGCAGCCTACGCAATCGGACATCTGTCGAGGTTTTGAAGAGATCTCAAATGGTGGTTGGCGAAAGTAAAATAATATGTGCATTTAATTAATCTACAATTAAATAATCAGTCAGCACATTCATGAATAGACTATATGTATTCTTAATGTTTTACTATTCAACTATTAACCATATTATCAAGCTTCATGTTTAAAAGAAACATCTGAGACATATTAGTGTAAGAATTGAAATATTGCAAATATTCTGATATCTTTGACAATTCAAAACATGAGCTGAAAACAGAGACTGGTAACTTCACAACCCAGCAAGGGGGGATGCGGGAAAAACCAGTTCCTGCTGCATTTGCATCTGAGTATGCTGAAACTCAGCTTCATCCCCCCAACTCACGCATATGGTCATTTCAATGTTTGAATGTTCTAGATTAACCAAACTGACTTTAACTATCATGTTTGATATCATTTGAAATGTCTCAGTGCGATTGGTACAATGGTCTCATCCTCTCAGAAATAGACATAATCAAAACAATAAATATATAACTTCAGGCATCTTTTGAACCACTGTGAAGGGTGTGACTTTTATATACACACACCTTCTTCCTTGAGGGAAATCTTGGATTATTTAAGGTAAGGTCTAAGAAAGACTCAGGGCGATTCTGCCTACCCAGATCAGCCCATAACATGGAGCCTAGGCTCCACGTTATGTAAAATTTACACGTTATGTAAAAAGTCAGGAATGCATCTTTTAATCTTGGATTTATCTTTGATAATTTGATGTTTTGTATTGATCGTTTATGAATTGACTGATTGATTTTGGCATAATACATTTACCTGACTAATAAATTATGTTTTGGATTATTCAAACCTCGTGTTATTATCACTGATAAATGTTGTTGTCCATAGCACTACATGCCACTGTACAGGTTAGTAACGGACTAAAACATGTTAGACGGAGCAGCGTGGCACGCTATACAATGTTGTTAGAGATCCGACTAACAAATTGGCATTTATTCATGTATACTTGGACTGTAAAAGGCCAACTATTTAGAACAACAAAATATTGTTGAAACTACTTTAAATGTGGATATTTAGGCCTTCATCTACAATATTAAAATCCTGCGCGATTATTATTAAAATACTTTGTCTTAAGTAGATAACAGATCTATGGGGACCACATAAAAATCTCCTAAATTGAGTAAGTAGTGTTCTGCCTTTCTAGGAGAGTGGTTAATCGCCTCTGTTTAATGACCAAGACTGACAAGCTTGTATTAAGAGATTTTATACCCGGCCGGTGCAAGACTCGAGATGCAATCGGAATCTGAGTAAATGAGAATAAGGTATAATAACAAATCAAAAGAATATTCAATCACAATCTAAAATAATGTGAAAGGAAACAAAATCTTCTCAATGTTTTATAATTAGAGTCAGATAAAACGAGGATAAATATATTAATATTCTAAACCACCTCATACTAAAATTGGAGTCAGATATGAGTTAAGTTTAATATAAATCAACATTGTGCACTGGAAAGACCGAACATGCAGTGAACCTTCATCCACCATTGGATACCGTCATTGGACCAACTGGCTGGACCCTACATTAGTGACCACAAAAACACATTGTATGGGTCAAAATGATTGAGTTTCTTTGTTGCTGATCTCAAAAATCATTAAAGTATTAAGTAAAGATCATGTTTAACGAAGATATTTTGTACTTTTTCTGACTTTAATATAACCAAAGTTAGTTTTTGATTAGTAATATGCATGGCTAAGAACTTAAATTGTGCAAGTTTAAGTCATTTATGAATATTTTGAGTGTTTTGAACCCTCAGATTACGGATTTTCAAATAAGATTACAAGTTGTATCTGAGTACAAGTACCTTGGGGTTTTAATAGATTCAAATCTATCATTTAAGTCTCAGGTTAAAAAGGTTTGTAACCGGGTCAGATTCAGTTTAGCAAATTTTAGATTTATCCGTGATCAGATGTCATGTGAGGCTGCCCTAATCTATTATCACTCCATGATCATTTCTCACATCACTTATTGTTTAACCACTTGGTCCCAAGCCAGCATCACTACTCTGAAGCCACTTGAATCTTTATACAAACAATCCATAAAAACCCTTGATAAGAAATCAGTTCAATATCACCATTGTTTAATATTAAAGAAATACAACCTGCTTAGTTGGGAAAATTTTATTAAATATGTACATACCTGTTTAATGTTTAAGACTTTACATAACCCGACTTCACCATTAAATCAGTTTGTACATATTAGAACGACTGCTCACAGAACTACTAGAGGAGGTGACAGAGGGGACTGCATTATTCCTCTCAAAAAAAGTAAATTCAGTCAATCTGTGTTTTCAGTGAGAGCTGATAGGGATTGAAACTCCATCCCACCAACAATTAGAAGATCGTGCACTTTTCGTTCTCTTCAGTCTCATGTTAAAAATTGGTTATTGACAAATCAGCATTGGTACTGTATTCTTGACACATTTGTACTGTTGTCTTTGGCTTTTTGTCCTCTGCTGCCATCAGTCTGTTCTTTTTTTTTTCTTTTCTTTACTTTTTTAACTGTATTTTTAATATGAACGTGTATTTAATGTTTAATGTTGTGCTTCTATTTTAGCTGTGACTTTTTAACATTCTGTAAAGGGTCTACGGATGAAAAATAGCCATTCTTGGCTAATTCTGGCACATTTTACAGTAATGTTTATTAATGTGCATTGACCCTGTAAACAAATAAACTAAACTAAGGTGGATCTCAGCCAAATATTGTTCTACACTGCCTAACAAAAGTCTTGTCATCGATCAAAGTTGTAAGAGCATTTAATAATAATTTGACTTTGTTGATCATTTAAAAAGTTGCACAAAAATACTGCAGAAGACCTACTGGAACCCGCATGGACCCAAAATTCTCACAGAAATCAGTCAAGTTTGGTGAAGAAAAAATCATGGTTTGGGGTTACATTCAGTATGAGGGTGTGCAAGAGATCTGCAAGATCAACAGCCTGAGGGATCAAGACAGTTGTGCTGCCCATTACATTACAAACCACACGAGAGGGCAAATTCTTCAGCAGGATAGCGCTCCTCATACTTCAGCCTCCACATCAAAGTTCCTGAAAGCAAAGAAGGTCAAGCTGCTCCAGGATTGGCCAGCTCAGTAACCATATATGAACATTATTGAGCATGTCTGGGGTAAGATGGAGGAGACATTAAAGATGAATACAATGCATCTTGATGAACTCTGGGAGTCCTGCAAGAACACTTTCTTTGCCATTCCAATAAAAAAGTAAAAAATAAAGCCATGATTATATTTTATTTTGGTAAAATAAGCGTAATTTAAAGGTCTTTGCCTTTCATACAAGCCACTTCTGATACCAAATGATCAACTAAAACGTGTTTCTAAAACTTGGATAGGTGATGTAGTGGCAATTTTCTTTAAGGAGGCTCTCTCAGTAGTAAAGAAGACAAAGTCTTACCCAAAGTGTCTTTTAAAGTTTTATTCTTTGCAAAGAATGTCACACAATCATACACCAATGACAGTTTCTGCAGAGAGTGAGGCGCAAGAAACCGAGGGTGTTCTCTTTTTATCTAATTCGCAATATCCACAAGGTCATCAGTGACACACAGGATGAATCACAGTTTCATCAGCACTCAACTTCAGATTTGACCATCTATATTTCAATCTTACATCCTATCCGAACATGTTGCTTGTTAAATCACCATTCACTTATGCAGATCTTGTTTGGTGATAAACGGATGTTAAAGTGATCACGTTTGGTGATCACAGACCTTTATAATGTACATAAATGACTATTTAAACTGAATATAAAATGAATTTCCACCACAGCCACAAGACTTGTCATGGAAATGATTCTTTATTCAGCTTTCAGATGACTTATAAATCTCAGTTATACTTTAAAATGACACTTCTTTGGTGCTAATAACTGTTATGTCTCATGTTTGCTTTATCCTGGGTGTTTGTAGGATGTAAGCACACTATCATCGTTTTCTTTTGCAGTGTTTATTCCTGATTCGCCTTATCGCTTTGGCTGCAGCTGAGAGGCTGCTGGATGTTTTTGTTGCTGTGCAACTTATTATTATATACTTATCTTAAATTACAATTTGTAATCTGTCATATTTTCTTGAATATTTTCTTTAAAATACTTCACAGCTTTGTAGAACTGTAGTTTTGTTTTCTTTTAGAGCACTTACCTGTGTAAGTCTGCATACATCATATGAAAACTAATGTAAAACAAAATTGTTTATTTTCTTTTTGAAGTAGAATAAAGTTATTTTGTGCACTTTTATTGTGTAAGATCCTCATTTTTTTATTTAAATAAAAAGTTCCATTTATTAACTGAATATTTTCAGATTCATTTTTCCTAACCTACAGTACATTACCTACTTTAAACCGGTATATTCCAACTATAACTTTCAGGATTTTCCCAGACCAAATCACGCAGAAAAAAATGATTCATTTGATTTACCAAATTCTTTTCAAGAGTTCACACTTAGATATTGCTTGACAACTGTTAGCTGGTTTGGCATGCTGTCCCGGGAGAGAACCCTGAGCTCGGAGATAGTTGAGCCCAGGGCTCCCGCCAGGTCCATAGAGCATGAGAGGGGAGTACGAGATCAGGTGGTTCTCGAGAGCTCTCCTTTTGTAAAGGAAGAGAAAGGGGTGGATGAGGGGTTTCTTTAGAAAACGAAGATAAGGGAGTAAATCTAGCTAGGCTACTTGTAGTAAGTAAGAATAGATCTGGTTGGCTAACTAATGAATCTAGATGGGTGGCCAGCTGCAGTCAATGATATCACGTGCTCCTCTCGAAATTAGTTTGAAAAACTTTACCTAAGGTAAGAGGTTGATAATTTATATAGACCGATTTCAAACAACAAATATAATTTAGTAATGTTCAACTTTGCTTAAATTCAGCCCATATAAATTGATTGCAACTCCTTACCTTACAAACAAATTGGTGAATCTAATGAGTAGTTTTTTCATTGCAGCTAGTTTGTTGGTTATGCAGTAGTTCCTCTTGCAATCAAGAAGATTGTATGATAAGTGTAGTCAAAATAGGTCTTTACTAGTAAAAATACAACATATTCTCATCATAACGTTTGGTTTAAGATCACTTCTTCCAGCCTCTTCTCTTCCTCCATCTCTTCGCTCCCTTTGTTGTTCATATATTTCATTTTAAAATGAATTTCAATAAATATGCTTGATCTAAAACACTAATGTAACTACATCATTGACAAGTGTTCGGTTTCTCCAGTAGAGGGCGTCTGTTTCACAAGTAATA